TCGACTAGTATCCGAGAGATCGCAGAAGGTTGGCGGTTTGCCTTCATAAAAATGGTAGGATTTAATCGCTGGGAAAGGAACGTACGAATAAGCAAAGAATGGAGGAAGCATTTTGACAGAGGAAATCTACATGACCTTTGAACATTTTTTGATTAAAGAAACTAAATAAAGTTTAAAGACAGATATTTAGCAACCTGTAGTCCTTAAGGGTTGACAAAGGTCAAAGTATAGGTTCATATCACCGTTGTAAACTACGATGAAACTGATTTTTCCTTTTTTACAAATGCTATGACAGTCGACAAAGTCTGACGTACAGCCATAATTAATTGACTAACGGGATGACGACATCCAGTTCATGAGGCACATGAGAAATCAAAAGAAATCAGATTCGTACCTTGATGGATCGGTGTTGACACCGATCAGCGGTTTGGACTGGCTCCTGATTCTACTGGCGGCAAGAAGGAAGGTGCCATCGCCGCCAGCTGCAAACACAGCGTCCGCCCAGTTGATCGCCTCCGGGGTATAATCCCACCTTTGGCAAACCTTGTAGTCAATATTCCTCTTCCTAAACCAACGTTATTAATTTCAAATGTTATACAGACGCAGAATAAATGTTCTAACGCAAGTTCATCACAGATGAGTCCCAAGAAGTGGTGATGCACGTCGTGCCTTTCTTTAAGCCTGTCGTAATCAGATCCTCGCTCTCGTAACTGCAAAAAAACATACACAGGTATATCAATAAGCACAGTATTTCTAGCGAATCTCATAGAAGCAAGCAAACAGAAATTTTATGCTGACTTTCGCTTCGTCCTCAGCTCCTTTATCTTAGAAATCTGCCGACTAGTCTTAACGCGAGAACAGATGACGGGGGACAAAACTGCATGTGGCATGTGATCGTTACCCTGAGCGGACTGCATAAGCGGAACATCTGTAGTTTTTAATGTCCGTTTTATTCCAAGAATTACAATACTTTTTCCATTAGGCATCAGTTACTGCATCGTACAAAAAGATGTTCCTCTCCGAAAGCACATCTTTCTCTACGTTGTCCGCCTTCCGGCTTCCACATGACAAGTTGACAGACGGAGTAAACGGCTTGTGCTCAACAAGTGTGTCTAACAAATTTTATTCACAAATTAAATCGGAAACGTCTCTTGCATGTCTCGAAAAAACGTTCATCCGGACCTTAGTCCGCTCCCTCGATAGCCTAAAAATGCAAAGACACAAGTGCAAATATCGTTCGATGTGCAGTCGGTTTCTGTTGATACCGATCTGTTGGATCTGTTACTTTTTAGCTGTCTTTCATTTGAGGTGTCTGCCATTTACTTCATGTTTACAATTAAAGGTTACGGTTGCATTAAGATATATTATCCGTGAATTAGTAGCAACACTGAGACTGCATAAAAATGGCTGAACCCGCATAACCCAAAAGCGTCAACAAATTCATTGACGGCTATTATCGACATTTCGATTCGCATCTTACGATTCCACAAAAATCAGTTTGCACTTTTCCACTGTCAAGTCATTTGTTGTACATAAAGATAACGGGTTTCTGCCGTTAAGGGCACCAGTATATTCGCAGGTAATTTTAAGAATTCTGCGAAAAACAGTTCAAGATAGAGACAACAGGCCTGAAGGGACCCTCGTCAAATAATATTTCATAAAAGAAAAAATACACGAATGTTTATTATCGTATTTAAGTAACAATCAGCTAAGAACTAAGGAGCATGCATCTGAA